AGTAGGCTAGTCGTAAGAACATGACAAGTGCATTGACCATACCTGGAGGATTTCTGTCGTGTTCCATGGCGTTGGAAAAGGTACAGGATTTCAAACCCCCATTCAGTAATCAGTGAAATAAGTGCAAAGACGTGTGTGAAATACTTTAGGTATGACTTTAGATATGTTCGTTTGGCTAAAATTACATTTGGAAGATACAATCACGTTGAAAACAAATTCATGAACTGAGGATAGTTATGTTCCTACTTGGTGTTTTAATAAAAGAAAAACTAAACACGAATGCTGCATCTGTGTGTTAGTTTGGAGGGGAAATCGCTCCTCGGATACGCCTAGAATGGTCTTGTTGGGGGTCACGGGTGGGGCTGGTGTATACTTAATGGTCACTGTCGGAAGCTAATTGGAGAGAGGAGACCACTGTATGTAAGTGGTCCTCGTGCAAACACAGTGCATCAGCGCAGCTGTTCGGTGAACAGCCACAGACAAAACACTCCATTGAAGGTGATCGGACACCAAACTGAACGATGGCAGTCAAGCAGGAGCTGCGAAATGAGAGTATACCGCACCTGCCTGCTCCCATTCCAGTGATGTTGCAATAAATATATTGGATCCTATAGCATCATCGGTCCAAATCATACGAAAACACGTTTTTCGTCTTGGCCTCCGTACATTAGATGGCAAACTGAGATTCGATCGGTGTTTAGTTACGTGATTTAGTTAGTTCAGATAGCCCAGTTTTCATGGATGAGGTACTTCTGCCAAGGGTGTTGGCAAAACCCAATTTCAAGTAGGTAAATGATGATGAATGCAGCATTTTTGGCTGGTGGGAGGCGGTGGGGGACACGCATGAGCGACCACTTTACAACAGGGATCTAATGGGGGCATGACCTAGGATCAGTCATCGTTTAAAACAACTCGGGCCGACAGGATTTCGTGGTGATGGAGGTAGCTATGCTCAATGTTGATCTAGAGACGTTTGACACCTTGTCCTTGGCTGTTTTTCGCTCACTGATGCTAGAGACCAGAACTAAGATATAATCATGTTATGACAAGTTTTGCTGTTTCTTCCATTCATTCTCGCCTCATTGACAAGGCTTAAACAAGGTAGCCAAAACATCGAAACTATAATATTATACGGCTGTCGAAAACCAGTGGCGGTCTTAGATCAAAGCTATCGGCTTCACCGCGTAGCGCTCAGTCCTTGCCCTACAGAACAGACAAGACCGCTCTAAGTCGAAGAGTTTGACCAGACTATCGCCTACAACGCGTGACTCTCACTCCCTTGTTTTCGTTATCCACAGTGAACGAAGCTATAGCAGCTGGAATGGCTGCAATTCAATGCACTAGAACTTTCAAAGCTACCATACCGATTGACTGGTCTGCAAACAGGAGGATAGGTTTCACCCCACCGTATTTTGTAGCAGTACTTTATTCTCCACAGATATGAAGCACCTACCAGCACGCTTTTGGCGCCCAGCTACCGTGCCGTGCGGAAGGAGGAAAGAGGGCTAAGATACTGCCAGGTTGCTCAAACCTAATCAAGAGCTGTCGAGATGCTGGTTGGCTTCGAACCACAGACCTCTCGGTCCGTAAACCTAGCGCAGTCGTGGAGTGGTGACATTCGAATTCAGCAGACAAGGCCAAATAATCTAGACGGAGGGGAGCTTTTTGCGTCAGAAGGACCTCTTGCTCTCTCACGCGCTTTCAGCTGACTGAACGATAAAAGTCAGCTACGACAGAACGACTCCGGATCTGAAAGATCTGAAAAAAGTATACTGGCGGCCAGTACGTAGGACCGTACTAAAGGAACTTCAATAGTGGATCTGCGGTAATAGTACAACGTCCCAGAAAACTCAGATCAAATAGAAACGAGTGAAAAATTAGGGTGGCGCAACCGGATTGTTTCACCACTACCAGCAGAAGCGCCTTTGCCAGATTTGGGGGAAACTCAAGAGTTTCTGTCTACCGTTTACTCAAACGAGCGTAGGGACCATAACCCTACTGCCATGACACAACTGAGGATAGTTGATGTAACGGGTAGGCTAACAATCGGACTAACAGTTAGAATCTCCGCCCTCCATGCGAATTTACTGGCTCCGCTCACTAACTTAATGATCTGCAGAAGCTCACGCGACGCAGGGCATCGATCGTTCACGTTTTTTGCTACTGGTCTAACCCAGTTATGGCACACAAGTATCGAGGTAAAATAGAGTCAACAAAAGTGTGGTCCAGAGCAAATCACAAGACCGAGACCTTAGAATGCAAGTATTCAGTGAATAACACTAGAAACGACTAACAGGAGCTGCTCCTCTTCACACCTGAAATTGCATTCACTATACCCGAACCCAAACAACTGAGGAGTGCAGTCAGCTGATGAAGGTGCGAGATTGAATCGAGTCAGACTTGGAATCAATCAGCCACAGTTATACCACCAAGCCAGAAGCGAAAACTATGGGATAGAACATGTGAATCGATTTTTCGTCTGATAGATGACACCAATGCCGATGACATTTCATTCCATCTGGCTTTAGGGAAATTAGACTGGTTGTGCCAGATAAGTGGCTCTTCGCAGGATGCATTTGTCAATGGACTCCGGAAGATGCTAGTCTCAATACGGGAATGAAAGAATAGGTACGTATTTGTCGTGGCAATGCCGGAACACATGTATAAGGAAGTATGAACAAGAAGACCGACTTAGTTACCACTAAACTTACGAAAGATCGATCAGGGGGCGCAGCACACTAATCATAATGTTAAAAACCCTTCGACAACCCACGACCGGTCTCGCCCTTCCTGGAGATCAGTCTACAAGTTCCCGTCAACTCTGTTCTTAGTTAGGGAGTTGGCTATCAAGTTGACTAAGGATTTTAAAGTGTTCCTCCTGAGTGTCGTTCACATATTTTGTTGGTCTGTATACGTTTTGGCAGGTCAGGACACTTGGATTGAGGTTTGAGGGTGGGTGAGTTAAGTGTACCTTATTATGCTTGGGTCTTTTGGACACAGACCATTCACACTAGCTAACAAACAGGAACTTCAGACTGACGCCGAGCACTGATCAAGTAGGCTAGTCGTAAGAACATGACAAGTGCATTGACCATACCTGGAGGATTTCTGTCGTGTTCCATGGCGTTGGAAAAGGTACAGGATTTCAAACCCCCATTCAGTAATCAGTGAAATAAGTGCAAAGACGTGTGTGAAATACTTTAGGTATGACTTTAGATATGTTCGTTTGGCTAAAATTACATTTGGAAGATACAATCACGTTGAAAACAAATTCATGAACTGAGGATAGTTATGTTCCTACTTGGTGTTTTAATAAAAGAAAAACTAAACACGAATGCTGCATCTGTGTGTTAGTTTGGAGGGGAAATCGCTCCTCGGATACGCCTAGAATGGTCTTGTTGGGGGTCACGGGTGGGGCTGGTGTATACTTAATGGTCACTGTCGGAAGCTAATTGGAGAGAGGAGACCACTGTATGTAAGTGGTCCTCGTGCAAACACAGTGCATCAGCGCAGCTGTTCGGTGAACAGCCACAGACAAAACACTCCATTGAAGGTGATCGGACACCAAACTGAACGATGGCAGTCAAGCAGGAGCTGCGAAATGAGAGTATACCGCACCTGCCTGCTCCCATTCCAGTGATGTTGCAATAAATATATTGGATCCTATAGCATCATCGGTCCAAATCATACGAAAACACGTTTTTCGTCTTGGCCTCCGTACATTAGATGGCAAACTGAGATTCGATCGGTGTTTAGTTACGTGATTTAGTTAGTTCAGATAGCCCAGTTTTCATGGATGAGGTACTTCTGCCAAGGGTGTTGGCAAAACCCAATTTCAAGTAGGTAAATGATGATGAATGCAGCATTTTTGGCTGGTGGGAGGCGGTGGGGGACACGCATGAGCGACCACTTTACAACAGGGATCTAATGGGGGCATGACCTAGGATCAGTCATCGGAACTCTGTGTACAGCGTTTAAAACAACTCGGGCCGACAGGATTTCGTGGTGATGGAGGTAGCTATGCTCAATGTTGATCTAGAGACGTTTGACACCTTGTCCTTGGCTGTTTTTCGCTCACTGATGCTAGAGACCAGAACTAAGATATAATCATGTTATGACAAGTTTTGCTGTTTCTTCCATTCATTCTCGCCTCATTGACAAGGCTTAAACAAGGTAGCCAAAACATCGAAACTATAATATTATACGGCTGTCGAAAACCAGTGGCGGTCTTAGATCAAAGCTATCGGCTTCACCGCGTAGCGCTCAGTCCTTGCCCTACAGAACAGACAAGACCGCTCTAAGTCGAAGAGTTTGACCAGACTATCGCCTACAACGCGTGACTCTCACTCCCTTGTTTTCGTTATCCACAGTGAACGAAGCTATAGCAGCTGGAATGGCTGCAATTCAATGCACTAGAACTTTCAAAGCTACCATACCGATTGACTGGTCTGCAAACAGGAGGATAGGTTTCACCCCACCGTATTTTGTAGCAGTACTTTATTCTCCACAGATATGAAGCACCTACCAGACCGTGCGGTAGAATTAGTCACGTTATTTAAAATGGGCTGAACCTAGGAAGGAGAGCGATACCGCCGGCGTACTCAATCTTTGTGTGAGGCGAACGATTTCGATTCCTGAGATTCGGTGAGCAGGTAAAGCGGTTTGAAGCAGTACATTAATAGAGAAAGTTGGAGAGGAATGATGAAAAATAGTGGCCGCGTCTTATACTGCTGACTGTGGTGAACTCAGGTGACAGTCTGCTATATATTCGTACGCGCCCAAAGGAGTCCGCCTGCAGTGCTCTTTTAAGGGAAACGCCACAATTTCCTCCCATACTGGACCAGCAGAGCCATTTGACGTTATTGCACAGATTGGGCTGTCGTTTCCAACTTGTGGTTCTCATTCCCTACTCTCGATGAAAAGAGCAGGAACCACCGAACGTCAGTACAAGGGTTGTGAGCTGGAAAACTGAACTGAACTAAGCTTCATCGGGAACTTACCTATCTAAGCGCGCTGCGATGGTTGCTCCCTGGTGTTCCTCGAAGATTGAGGTCAATTGTTGTATCAAATCGATCGGTTGCACTGCTCCTTCAATACGACCAAGCAGAGCCATACCAATTGTACTGTTCGCGAAGTGGCCAAACTCGGGAACTACAGATGAGATGAGAGAGTGAGTGTGACGCGAAGTGCAATCATTTCACGATCAGGAAGCGGAATGCGACGAAGACAAAACCGAAACAACGTACTCACCCGTTAGATTGGTCAAACCGATGACTCCAATAAACGGGTAGGTGTGTTCCCTGAGCGTTCGAGAAACTCTATAACCTTCAGGACTCTTGATGTTACAGCCCCAAAATACTATTTGTTCCCGGTTGTCCAGGAATCGGATTACATCTGAATCCAGTAGGGTTTTTCTACAGGGAGGTCAAAAGTAGGGAGAGATGGAATCAAACGAGAACAGGACATGCTATAAATGGCAGTAGACACAAAACGTAAACGGAAGACTTTCAGCAACCATTACACGATATCGTTCGGTGGTAGTCCCGCCATGGTCTTTCCAAACAGATAGGAATCCTTTACAGTTTCATTCCCCGACCCATACAAAGACCGATTTATCAATGAAGTGGCTGTCTTCAAGACCGAACAAGTAGAACTTTGTCCATGGTGATTTAGGGTTGACAGAATCAAACGGTACGCGAGGAAGCATGCTACGAAAAATTGTCCAAATTTACATCAGTGTTCTAAGGTCCCGTATAGGGCAAATAGTGATGGTGGAGTGGGAAACCTTGGTAAATTTCGATTCATATTTCATCCGAGAAACAATACAGCTGGTTCATCCTTATTCGAAACCACCATCAGTGCCCATCTCACGAAAATCCAGTTGGAAGTTTCCAGCCCCGACCGACCTTCTAGTAGTTTGAACTCTTGACTGTTCGACACCAGCAGCTGATTATTTTACCTAGCATGCAGAGTCACTCATCCCTCAACCGGGGAATCCACAACACGCGGGTACATGCTGACTGGACCCTCAAATAATGACTTCTTGACAGGGTTCCACGATTGCAGGATGAGTGGCGCTGTATCCTCCTCAAATGCGAGTTAAACATCATCAGGAAAGAGAGCAACATTAGTGTTGACACCTCCAACCACTCAATCAGACAATCTGGAAAGAAACTGACAGCACGAACGTCACCATTTCTTGCAACGCCTCCAGCTAAAGCACAAGTTGGGTCACGTGGACCCCATCCTGGAAGGCGTACAACACCAACAACACCCAAACTCTTCGTGGTCTCTTTCATGCCTTTCTGCCAAGTCATGCGCTTTCGACTTAGCGGTTCGCGCCATTCTGGAGAAGGCACGTAGAGCAACACTAGTCTCGGTAGACGGTCTTTCGACATTCGTTGCACATGACCGAGGCATCGTAGTCGGGGGTGCTGGATGTCTTCCCGGATTGTATTACCTCCAGCACAACCAAACACCCGTTTTCTAATCACCTCTCCAAAACCAGCCATCCCTCTGAGGCATCGGTGCCCGAAAACCTGAAGACGCCCCACATCATCTGTCCACAGAGGCCATGTCTCGCAGCCGTACAACACAGCCACTACTGTAGCCTGGGACACACGACCCTTAAGATCTAATGCCTTTTTGTTTTGACGCCACAAGTAGCGCAAATTAGCGAACGTGATTCGAGCCTTTGAGATTCTTGCGCGGATCAAGTGCCCATCGAACTGTACGGTCAGTTTGCCACTTGGCTTGCGAAAGTCTCCTGTCTAAGGGAGGACAGATCGTCAGTGCGCAGTTGAGTGAGCTCTCTCCTTACTTAGCTGCGTTTATATAATTTGGGAGAGTATCGGACATCCTTTCATGTGATTGGTTAGTTGGAATATTCCTTTCTTGTAATCTTATCTACCCGTTCGTGATTTGCGCTGCGTTGTGGTCTGTACACATCGTACTCCATTGACTTGTTGGACAGTAACTTTGGCGTTTTGGATTCGTCTGTCTTTCATATATTGGCGAACCGAAAAATGTGCTTTATCGAATGGCCGAGGGTCAAGTGCCGGTAGGGCCGAGGGCGGAAACTGTTAACGAGCTTTGAAGACAGAGGAAGCTCGAGGTCAGTTCATTCGCCCGATGGCAGAATAATTGCGACAGGGCAGAGAGGGTGGTTAAAAAGGGAGTGCCGTCGATGAAAAAAGTAACTGGGGGCATGGCCGGAACAACACTTGATATCGTAAGACACGGCTCCTAAGGTTGCTAAAATCCCACCGGCATGCCCATGACAGGTTTCGTCCTTCTTAAAGCTCACTCCCCGAGTTCCGTCAATACTATGTTCTCCTTGAACCCAAATTCTATAACTCTCGATACTCTCCTCCGATTGTACACGAATTCAGTTTTGTCACGGAATAAACTGAATCCGCTGAATCTTCCGTTCATGACGACTGAAAATGTAATTTGGGTTCAAGCAGAACATGAGTTTGAGGGGAACTCGGGGATTGGCCCTACTTGATGACCCCAAGAAGGGCAAAATGGGTCGTGGGCTATCGAAGGGTTTTCAACAACCTTATGAGTAGTGTGTTACGTCTAGACAATAATATACTGTGACGGCTCAAATATTGTACGAACTAAACGACCTGGTGCAGCATATTCAGTTGGAACGCACCACCATAAACGAAAGATTGAGCTGGGTTCAGTAGTCTCCTGTCAAAACCAAGTGTGTGCACATAGGATCATATGTTGAGAAGAGTTGAGAACCATGAATTCAACGTTTGTGGTTCGTTGAATTCAATTCAAGGACTCTTCGTTTTCTGCTTGTTCGGATGGCTGATGATCGGTCAAACAAGGTTCGCAACTAGCCTGTAAACGTTTTGCCACCAACGGAGTGTGCGAATTGAGCGCACACCTGAGCAAACGAAAATGCAAGGGGACATACTAGTTTACGGTTGTGACCTAACTCTTTCTAAGATGCCAATTACAGTGACAAGTGTAATACCATGTCTTAATTGCATATCGTTCTCTCGTGAGCCGATCCTGTAGCACTAAAACGAGGCTTTCGCCGTAGAACTCGGAGCACCCCCTGTCGTTGTGACTAGCACAGCAGCTAGCATACAGTGAGTGAAGGATACATGAGCATTTGACAGACGGTAACAAGAAAATCATCCATGGAAAATCACAGCTCATCTCGTACGAAAAAAATTTTGAAGTGGGTTAGTCGTTTGCACCCAGATAAGGTCCGTTGCGACTTCCGTTGACAGAAGCGCACTAACGCAAATATCAGAGTACAATTCAGGCTAACACTATGAAACCTCCAAAGTCACAAACGTATTGGACCGCGACCACATAGAGTCACAAGCTATCGATCCTCATTCCGCCACATTCACAAAAGCGGGTTATCATGACACCAGGAAGTACAAATGGGTACGAAAGACTTAATGGTGCAGCGGTAACTGATGAGAAACCCGAAGGTTTGTTCCCATTGTGTACCCAAGGTAGTGAATAACAGAAAATAACGATCGTTTAGCTGTAACACCCTTTCGGTGCCTGGCTGCCATGCCACGCGAAGGTAGCACGATAGCTGGGATACCGCCAGGTTGCCTAAGTCTGGACAGGAGAGGTCGGGATGCAAAGGTTGGATTCGAACCAAGGGCCTTACGGTCAGTGAATTCGCGCTCGAACCACTAAGCCACCTCGCCCCCAACCGAAAGTGCTTAAGCACAACGTCCGGCAGCATCTGTTTCAATCGAATCACGTGAGGAAACATCGTAGGAAAGTCTCGATAACGTGTTCAAAGTTCTTACTGTTAACTGCTCTAGGAAAATCGACTGAGTACCTGACATCATCTGTAGTATCTTCCCGTGGGACTTGCCCTTTTTAGCTGGCGCACCCAAACAGAACGCTAAAGCAGGTGCACAAGTGATGGAACTAAAACAATTAGGGTACCAACTTAAGACTTCGACATGAATTGTCACCGGACCAAACGAACACACTTGGTTCCATGAAATTCGTTAATTACACATTGAATAGGAAAATGAATAAAGCAAGAAAGTGGGAGACCGAGTGGATCCTATTGCTGGCCTACCACAACAGAGAGAGAGAAGAAGAAAGCGTCCAGCTGTAGCACCCTTCCGGTGCCTAGCTGCCATGCCACCTGAAGGGAGAACGAGGGCTAGGATACTGCCAGGTTACCCAAACCTAGACAGAGGAAGTCGAGAGGCACAGGTCGGGTTCGAACCACGGACCTTCCAGTTAGTAGATTTGCGCTCCAACCACCTGAGCCATTTCGCCCCCACAACAGAGAACAACGGTATTTTACGAGAAATGAGGAAGTGACCAGCATAAGCGTATTAGAAAGACTACGTAGAAGGTTCTAGAGGAGATAGACAGCTCTCCAGCGCGTTAAATGAGAAACCGGAGGGAGCGGTTGAGTGTGGCTCAACTATCAATTATCACGGACAAGATCCGTTGCTAAACAGATGCTAGCGATGCAGACGAAGCAACGATGACCAAAAACGAGCACGAGCAATAAAGAACTGTAGTGCTGTCAAGTCCACGTCGCTTCACATTAGGGTGACTACCTCCGAAGGAAATTCACCTTACAGGGGGAAGAATCTATACTGAGCTTTCCGCATCAGTGTATCTGTCGCAGTACATAACCAGAGTGGAAGTAATTCAATACCTGGTCACAAAGCGGCACCAGACAAATCGGTGACTTACTCGCAAAAAGTCCTGGTGTCCTCATGTGAGTCACCATGCAAATAGACTACGAGAAACCGCAGGCTACGCTTGGCCTCTTGTAAAGCTTGCGCGTAGCTACCCTCGTAGAAGGGAGGGAAATCCGGACGAGAGGAGGATGGGGACGCACCTTCTGTGCTCCGAAACTTACCATTGTTCATGTAGTTAGATTTGAAATATGCGATGAAGCGCTGGACATCACCCACTGGGTCGGTGACTTCTGTGGTGCAAAAGAAATAAAAAATCAATCAGGCTTGACGGCGTTAATGTAAATTCGAGCCAGAATCAGCATAGTGACAGAGTAATTGCGATTTATTAGGCTGTACCCGTTAAGGGCCTCACAACGATTTGGCACATTTGGACAGAGGCAAACTCAGAAATACTGTAAGGATGCTATAAGAAGGTAAAAAAGGATCAAATTCAACTGCATCAAGCTGAAGGACCGATTTGAGGAGGATAAAACTGGCAATCAACAAAGCATAAAAGTTCTAACAAATACCGTCAGCTCGAATGAAGCTACAACACCAAATGAAGGCATCTACATCCGAGGTCCCGACTGGTGGCGTATGAACTAATGAATTGTTCCGGTCGCCGCACATTCATCATCGACAGTATACCATCAGTGCTCAATAGTGATGCTTAGCTGTATCACAAACATCATTCATTTGGAGGCCTCAGTGTGAAGAAAGGAATTAAAATGGATAGAGGTGCCTACACCTCCAGACACTCATTAAGGCAATCTTGATAGAAATTGATAACAAGAACATCACTGACATCGATTAGCAGCCATACCATGAGGCGTCTTCAACCAGGCGCAGTGGGGATCATGCGGTCCCCATCCTCGTAGTTGAGTAGCACCCAAACGTTTCGTATCCTCTTACATACCCCTCTGCCAGCCCAAGGGTTGGCCACTTTGAATTTGGCACGGAAAACAGCACTCTCTTCGACGAACGATGGCTCGGCGTACGCAATGTATAACCCAACCAACGCAACTCCTGGAACTGAACAGATTTTCTTCGATGCAAGTCCCGTCGCTCAACCGAACACTCGCTTTCTAACTGCCTCATTAAGGATTCCCCGATACCAGCCTACACGAGGTATGGTCTTGAGACAACGGTTGTCTAAAACCTGGAGACGTCTTAGCTCGCCAGCCGAAAAAGGCCCCATCTCAGAGCCATAAAGTAAAACAATCCGTACTGTAGCCCGGTACACACATCCCTTGAGATTCAGGGCCATACCGCTCTAACGCCATAGGTGGCTCAAGTTAATCATTTCGCCCCGGGCCGTAGAGATTTGTGTACTGACCTCGTGTGTCACACTACGATCGGGAATAAAACAACTTCCTAGATAAATAAAACGCTCCACAACCTCCAGTATTGTTTGCGCCACGTTCAGTGAATGCATGTCCACTTCATGGGCGTGAGGCATACACAGAGGGACAGGACTTTGATCAGTTCACCTAAAAACACCTGTGCCTTCTCCTTTTCCAAGACGACGACGATGTCATCTGCATATTCCAGATCAACTACGCTTTCGTCAGCAGTTGTCCAAACATCACCTTATCTAAAGCTACCACCTTCATGTGCTGATCGCTCTTGAGTACTGCAATGATCAACCAGGATGCACTGGCTGGAACTCAATTTCAATAGGTGGAAACATGCAAAGAAGGCCTAAGGAGAGCAGTGGGACCAAGAGTAATGAGACATCACATTACGAGAAATCGTATTACGAGGTGGTCTGTACGTAAAGGCATAGTGTTCTATGCTAATGTCAGTAAGCTATTTCTCACAGGCGACAAGCATGTCCAAATTCATGGGAGTAACGAGGGTGCCTTCCGGCGATTAAGGATGGGTCAGAAAAAGGTTGCCCAAAAGCCGCAAACTCCGATCGAGTGAATTATCGTTCCGCATAGTTTTGCTGACACTTGCCTCCTTTTGGCCAGTCAACCGAATCAGCCGAGATAGAGTGCGGTTATTGGCTGCAGCAAAAGCCTTCTCCATCTTCTGAGGATTCGCAATCTAGTAGCGTTCTCTTTCATCCATCTAGCTATTAATCATCCGGTGTTTGAGGATCTGTGTGCGCGATCATGGTCGCTAGTTGCTGGTCTGGCCTTTCTCGCAGCAATAAGATGTACTTACAATGACGATATCAAGTGTTCATTTAATCAAGTCGGATGGCTCGGAGAAACAGTTCTGAAGGCTCAGAGCATAGCTTCCTTAATTCAATTTCATTTCATCTCCAAGCAATCTTCGTCATCGGCATGACTGTGCTCCTCAGACGCAGCAGCTCGATATTCTTGAGCTTGTCAGAGTTGACAAATGGAGTTGCGTAATACTGTCGGTAGGCAAGATGGTAAACGAGTCCGCACAATGGCATGATCAGAGTCAAGCAGAAGACCCCAGAAGTAATGGTAGTTCTCAGCCCTCCATCGGTAACTTACAACCGCATGGTATAATTGAGCCCTCCAAGTAACTAGATGTGAGCTCTTGTACTAGAATTCTGTATTTGCCAAGGACAGACGACAATCAGCACACAGCTGAAGCATTCGCTCCCCATCATCCGTACACTGAATATCGACTCCAAATATACCACTACATTCTGTTTCTTCTGGACTTAGTCGTGCAACTTGGACATTCCTACTACCCACGAGGATTACTATTTCCGTCTTTTTGCTCACCGAAATAGCTGCCACATTGAAGGCTGCAATGTGAATCAGATATTTTGGGGCTAATAGATTATTTTGGTCATTTTTTCTGGGCGATAGTTCAGACGCAGAGCAGCAGCTAAGGGACTGAGAGATGGGTTGATCGCAGTGCATTATTTGATGAGTGGGGAGACATGTAGAAAAGGGCCGATGAGCAGTGAGCCGCAAGGCCGAACGATACCCTTCGGTCGCCCAAACTGAAGAAGGAGTTTGGTTGAGGTATCCTGAATTTCACTCATAAGTCTAACCCAGTGGATTGGTGTAGGCTTTTTTTTCTGGGGACCTTCCCCTAGCCTCTGACTGGAAATTCGGAACAGTGATTGCTGGGGGGTTTATGAGGGACCCTTCCAGGAGCCAGTGACCCAATAGTCTAGCCTGCTTGGCTGCAAGGGGCCGGTCGAGGACACGGAGTATGACATTAATGTCTCACTCTTAACGCAGCGCGCACAGCAGGTGTCTTTTGAGGACTACCAGTCTCTTTGGTTTCAGAAGCATTTCTACCGACCGAATAATGTGCCGCCGGTCGTGGTTAACCACTGAACGATTGAAGTGCCCAGTTTTTCGGGGCCGACCTTTCCTAACCCGTCCTTCTTTGGAAGAAAACAAACATGCTTCCATAAATATAGAGATTTTGATTGCTTCTATCCCAGAAGAAAATCGTTCAGCTGGAGCACCGATTCAGAGCCTAACTACCATGCCACTCGAAGGAAGCACAAGGGCAGGGATACTACCAGGTTGCCCAAGCCTAGACAGAGGGCCAGTCAACCGAATCAGCCGAGATAGAGTGCGGTTATTGGCTGCAGCAAAAGCCTTCTCCATCTTCTGAGGATTCGCAATCTAGTAGCGTTCTCTTTCATCCATCTAGCTATTAATCATCCGGTGTTTGAGGATCTGTGTGCGCGATCATGGTCGCTAGTTGCTGGTCTGGCCTTTCTCGCAGCAATAAGATGTACTTACAATGACGATATCAAGTGTTCATTTAATCAAGTCGGATGGCTCGGAGAAACAGTTCTGAAGGCTCAGAGCATAGCTTCCTTAATTCAATTTCATTTCATCTCCAAGCAATCTTCGTCATCGGCATGACTGTGCTCCTCAGACGCAGCAGCTCGATATTCTTGAGCTTGTCAGAGTTGACAAATGGAGTTGCGTAATACTGTCGGTAGGCAAGATGGTAAACGAGTCCGCACAATGGCATGATCAGAGTCAAGCAGAAGACCCCAGAAGTAATGGTAGTTCTCAGCCCTCCATCGGTAACTTACAACCGCATGGTATAATTGAGCCCTCCAAGTAACTAGATGTGAGCTATTGTACTAGAATTCTGTATTTGCCAAGGACAGACGACAATCAGCACACAGCTGAAGCATTCGCTCCCCATCATCCGTACACTGAATATCGACTCCAAATATACCACTACATTCTGTTTCTTCTGGACTTAGTCGTGCAACTTGGACATTCCTACTACCCACGAGGATTACTATTTCCGTCTTTTTGCTCACCGAAATAGCTGCCACATTGAAGGCTGCAATGTGAATCAGATATTTTGGGGCTAATAGATTATTTTGGTCATTTTTTCTGGGCGATAGTTCAGACGCAGAGCAGCAGCTAAGGGACTGAGAGATGGGTTGATCGCAGTGCATTATTTGATGAGTGGGGAGACATGTAGAAAAGGGCCGATGAGCAGTGAGCCGCAAGGCCGAACGATACCCTTCGGTCGCCCAAACTGAAGAAGGAGTTTGGTTGAGGTATCCTGAATTTCACTCATAAGTCTAACCCAGTGGATTGGTGTAGGCTTTTTTTTCTGGGGACCTTCCCCTAGCCTCTGACTGGAAATTCGGAACAGTGATTGCTGGGGGGTTTATGAGGGACCCTTCCAGGAGCCAGTGACCCAATAGTCTAGCCTGCTTGGCTGCAAGGGGCCGGTCGAGGACACGGAGTATGACATTAATGTCTCACTCTTAACGCAGCGCGCACAGCAGGTGTCTTTTGAGGACTACCAGTCTCTTTGGTTTCAGAAGCATTTCTACCGACCGAATAATGTGCCGCCGGTCGTGGTTAACCACTGAACGATTGAAGTGCCCAGTTTTTCGGGGCCGACCTTTCCTAACCCGTCCTTCTTTGGAAGAAAACATGCTTGCTTCCATAAATATAGAGATTTTGATTGCTTCTATCCCAGAAGAAAATCGTTCAGCTGGAGCACCGATTCAGAGCCTAACATGCCACTCGGGGGCCGACCTTTCCTAACCCGTCCTTCTTTGGAAGAAAACAAACATGCTTCCATAAATATAGAGATTTTGATTGCTTCTATCCCAGAAGAAAATCGTTCAGCTGGAGCACCGATTCAGAGCCTAACTACCATGCCACTCGAAGGAAGCACAAGGGCAGGGATACTACCAGGTTGCCCAAGCCTAGACAGAGGTCAGGTTCGAACCACGAACCTTCCAGTGGGTAAATTCGCGCTCTAACCGCTATCTCGCCTCCTCCTATCCCAGAGAACAGCACAACTTCACACCTCCGGACCGCCACGTAATACCGTTTTCATCGGGATGCTCAAAACTGGCCTTCCTGGCGTTGTTGAATATTAAGGAACTGAGTTCCAGCCAGAAAAAAACGCAGGATCATCAGAGCCAGAATACCCACAAGGTGGCAAGCTTTAGGTCAAGAGAACTGTATACGAAAGGACGACATGACCTTGATCAGCTCATCCGAAAACACCTGCAGCCTCTCTAATTCGAAGACGAGGATAATTTCGTCCGTATATTTCAGATCAACAGGGTGTTCGTCAGTAGCTATTTGAACACTATCAAGCACTTTCCTCATACGGTAGGGTCCAGTCTCTTCGTGACGGATCTTGTTGATCACGAAAGTAAATAGAAATTGATAGGCCGGGAATCACTGTCGCACACCACGTTATGTGCGGGAACTTTTGGATAGCGCTCCGTATACTGACAGACGCCCGGAAGTTTGACAATACGTAGAAGTTACCATATTCCGTAACTACCAAGTCCATTCCATGTCGGCCATCTCATTAAGTCTCCGGTGCGCGGTCTGCTCACCTAATCATTCAGCTCTCCAACAACCACAACGTTTTCTGAGCTTTTAGCTCGCGGTAACAGCGTTCAAGGCGCCATAATACCCGTCTTTGACGGTGTCACAGTTACAATCAGTTGGAGTGTAAGCAACGACAATTATCGAGTTTCTGCTTGTGAGAATCTTTCAAGCACGCTGCCAGATAAATCGCACAGAGGATATCATCATCGGGTATCCAGTCAAGCAAGGATCGTTCAGACCGGTGACTTCGGAGAATTACGACACCCACACATCCCGTCTCAGCGTCCTCTGGATCGTCGCAGGCGGAAGCCAGTGGAGAGTGATGGGGCAGTTGGCTCAGTTACTGTGCTCGAATCCTGAATTTTAGTTTCTGATACACAACACACATCAATAGCAAGCAAGTCCAGTACGAATAAAACCACCCCCAATCCCCCTTCCTCAGAATCCAAACATTGAAAACAGCCAGGGAGATTGGGCGTCGAAACCCGAAGACTGACTTCGAGATCCCTGAGACTGTCACCGCCGGCTAATTGGCAGTGATCATGCCACCATCAAAACTGATAGCAACGCCAGAGGAGAACAATGGTGCTTCACTGCCATCCGACCATGCCAATTTATTTCTTACAATGGGAAAAAAGGAAATGGGGTAGGGTTGAGGGTCTAGGGCTAGCCTACAACAAACATCCGAAGTGCACATACCTCCAGCATTCAGTCGGAAATCTGGATAGAAACTGACAACACGAACACCCTTGACGTCGGTTAGCTGCCACATCGTTCAGTGCATCCAGTCAAGCAAAAGGTTGAGTCACGTGAACCCCATCCAACACCACCGAAATTTCATAAACTTCATTCCCTTCTATCACGTTAAACTCTGTCCGCCTCTATGTTTCCGAAATCCAATTAAACACGAAAAAGTGCTCTTCTTAGCATACGGTAACCCGGCATGCGTAGCATATAACACGTCCTTAGCTTGCAATGCTGGATGAACTCTTTGATGCTTCACCGAAAGTCCACCTCTTGACTACCTAATTCCGAATTCGTTTATTGCAGCCGACTGCAGTTACACTTCTGAGACATCGCTAGCCAAAGACCTGAAACCTCGGATCTTCAGCCCGCAGTAGGCAACACTTACAGCCGCACAACAATAAGCCCGTACGGCGGTTATACACACGTCGCTTGAGACCCAATGATACATTATCGCACAAATTGGTTAACACAACTACGACCGTCAATGTTCGTGGGCTGTGTTTGTCCTTCACACTACCGTCAGAGCTAATGCGTCATACAAGCTGTCTTCGAGTGTATCAGAGCTACAGTCTGTTGCAGCCTAAGCGGATGCGACGAACAGGTAGTGATTATCGGTGGTCACACATACATTCACAAGTATAGGTCAGTAGGTTGTGGAATTGCACAAACCGTCACAGCGCGGTAAACTCCAGCCTCTTCGTAACTCGCAGATGTTGAGGCCGAGAGTGGCGAAAGACGAAGTGCTACCTGATGGGCCTATTCAGTGACAAGAGGAAGAAAAACTGTGGAAGCGAAAGAAGGGGAGTATTAGCAGTAGCTTGTTTTTGCTTGCTCGAAAACCGCTGTATGCAAGAAGCGACCCAGTTGATCACATCACACGACGCCCGATGTGGCATGACAATGTTGTTAGTTGTAGGTATCATGGTTTTTTGTGGGCTAGGATACTGCCAAGGCGGTCAGCTCTAGACAAGAGAACTATTAGGGTCTTCGACTGAAGCCTTTGGCTCAAAGACCTCACTACGAAGCAGCGTTGTTCAGCTGGAAATATCAGTACATCCTGATTTTTAGAGCACAATTCGCCACAAATGTTCAAATCCCCAACCTGAGAGTGGGGGGGCAGGCTCTAAAACAGTGACAAACCTGGTACGATACTGTCAGGTCTGCACGGACACTCACTCCCTAGTATAACTCAGTGGTTAACGCAGGGACACAAACCGTCATATCACGGTAAGGTCGACCATCTTTGTCGTGCCTTGTTAGGGGTTATAAAGTACGAATACATGCAATGGCCATGATAACTGAGCGATTAGATTGGATAGGACAGCGACCATGTGCAGTTGCGCAACGACGAGGCAATGCAGTCCCTGAATGAAAGCCGTAAGTGTTAAGGCGCAATGACGTTAATCACAAATTCAATCAGCAACACAGCCTAGTGCAACTTTAACTCAGTTTAGATTCAACACCACACGTTATGGCGAGATAGCTCCGATCCGGGCTTTAATTCTATCGTTTCCACTCTTCCTCACGGCTGAAAAACGGAGGAATTCAAACGATGATTATTCGCCTAGCAACCCCTTAGTTTCTGGTAGAAATGGACGCGAACCCGATTGTGCAAGATGCAAATACTTCTACGAAAACATAGCTATAAACTCCGTATTCAACAGTGCCGTCCGACCACTCCTTCTAAATCGAAATTTCGCCAAGGATAAAAATGCCACAGGTGACGAAGCTGGAAAAAGCCAGTACTGTCATATAAATCTTGAGCAATGTAGAAGCCTTGGAGTGCGTTTCAATAAGCGGTCCAGAGACACTCTATTTTTTCCAGGATCTTGTTGCGCTAGAAGTTCTTGCGGTGTCCAGGATACTAACAAGACAAGAGATTGACCGAAATCACAATTCATGCTTCCTCAAGATCCATGAGGAGTCTATGAAAGGCAACCGTGCAAAATGCACCCTTGATCATGACAACCATGGAAGGCACAATATACGGAAAGTTAAGCTGGAGATAGCGATGGACAAAGTAGCAGTGGAGCATGGTACAAATTTTTTTGACTTACGTTGACCTAGTAGAAAGCAGAGCAGACAGACAACTCAGGAGAGGCAATCAGTGTCGTGTGATTAATAGACTATATAAATGCGTATTGTTAGGAATCAATCTCAATCTACCGGCTATAACTAATATACCACTGGTTCCAGCTGCTACACCTTCGATCACCGAGAAGTAGGACAGCGTGGGAGAAATAACCAAGTATTGGAGGCGACGACATATTCGGTTAGTTCGGGAACTCGAAAGCTACGAACTGGTTAGCTAGGCAATAGCTGTGATGCGTGAGCGCCACTGACTGCGTGATTAGGTCATTTTTGCCTGTGTTATTAACCAGTGGTCCGGGGTCCCCATCCAGGAATGCGACAGTTGTCGAACCGACCCAGTTTACTGGCTACTGTTTTCATACTTCTTTGCCACCCCTCAGTCGATCCCACACAGCACAGGGTTGAGCGAAAAAAAACCTGCGAGGCAGACGGCCCTCTGGCTTGCAGACTACATGTCCTAAACAGCATAACCTATGAAGCGTCAGTAATTCATCCATCGCGGGCCAGTTCCTAAAACCATCTGGCGTACCTCAGCATTGCTAATCCGATAATCCCGTTAGACACCACCAATTGTTCGCAGACATCGATGGTAAAACACTGGCGGCTTTGTGTATGTCCTCTGCGCGTGGAGGCACGTTTCTGATTCATAAAGCGGCACGGATCGCACTGCCACAGAATGGTCTCCATCCGTGTCAGACAACCTGGCATCACGTCGGCATCATACCTGTGGGAGGTTGGCAAAAGCCACCCAATTCATTTTTGGAGAAGGCCGAGTACAAGCACTGTTGAATAAACTGACCACCGAGATACTATCTTTCGGCATGCGCCTAGCATCTTCACACTGCAACGCAGTTTCTGAACAAACCCCTTGGCTGAAGAGTATGAATGAGATTACAAAGCGTTTGGGTGTTGTTGTACACCTAGCCAGAATGGAGTCTCCGTGACCCCGGCTGTGCTTGGCTGGCACTGCAAGAAATACTGGCTGATTGATGTCTGTGGCGTTCGTGTTGTCGATTTGTTTCCAGATTGCCTGATAGAGCGATGTGGGCACTTCATAAGGCATGCGACAGGCCAGTGCCAGGCATCTTGCCTCATTCCCTCTTTTCTTTTCATTCTAAGGCCTTACACATAATAGGATAAACTTTGTGGTTGTACAGCGTGAAGCATTACTGGCTGATTGATGTCTGTGGCGTTCGTGTTGTCGATTTGTTTCCAGATTGCCTGATAGAGCGATGTGGGCACTTCATAAGGCATGCGACAGGCCAGTGCCAGGCATCTTGCCTCATTCCCTCTTTTCTTTTCATTCTAAGGCCTTACACATAATAGGATAAACTTTGTGGTTGTACAGCAGTGAAGCATTAGTATCAACACTGATATTGTTGTGTTCGATGACTCAGACGAAAAGATCCCTGGGCTTCTGGATTCGAGATTTGATTTTGATCTCCAGCCAGTCCATCGAAACTTAACAACGTTCCAGGTAACCAAATTGATCTACCAAGTCTGTTGGCTCGCATGTAAGCGTTTTATTGTTAGCAACAAAATAACATTCAACCAAGTTTCAATAACAGAGGTAGATAGTTCGAAAGATAAATAGAACCACCAAATTCAAAGAAATTGGGTAAGGACAGAGATGGAACACAGGAGAAACAACCGAATGTACTGTGTTTCGGGAGTGGTAACTCCAACATTGTCATCATCATTGTCACCGGTGCTAACAATGATGCTCTGTCGTCTTAAAAGCACTTAGTTTATTAGTCTTAAAGTGAAAAAAGAGAAGGATGGACAGGTAAGGAACCTGGCGCTAGCCTACCGCAAACATCCGGAGGTGCATAAACCGGGAAATACTCAGTCAGGTAATCTGGAGAGAAACAGACAACATGAACGTAATTAATATCGGTTTGACGCTTCCCTAGCCGAATTCAAGGGGGCACCCGATGGCTGGTTAAATTGTGTTTGGCGCCGATCCAAAAAAAACCAATCCAGTTTTGATGCTAGTCACACGCAAAGAAGAACTGCAGTAGACTGCTCGCCTCTGCTAAAAAATTCGTCCCGTTGTGATCCCGAGATGACATTCGCACGCAACAGTGACAGGTCTAGATACATCTTCCCGGAAGACAGATCAGGCAACGCATGGATTAGCCAATGGTAGACTGAATAGATGAAGCCAACTTCTCGATCCAACAACCATAATGAATGTTCGATACAGAGCTTTTACATTCAATCGACGCCGATTGATTATGGAAAAAAATTATCGTCGAACAAAAGCGGTTTAAGAGGATATAAACTTTTACAATGACGTACATGACGGCAGTTAGGATAGAACAGGGGCTCTATTTAACAAGACCGGAACATCTCAACCAAGAGTTAGTAAGGCAATAACATCAAGCCTTCGATCCATACGTTGCCACCAATGGCTAAAAACTTTGAAAGAGATTCTCACGATCCGACAAACAGAACGGCAGTGGTAGGTCCAAAAGAACACTAACCACAGATAGACTTGTCGCGCAATGCTTCATACATAAATGAACTGAAAGTGGGCGAACCACAGCGACAAACATTGTGCAGAAACGCGAAACATAAAACCTGACCTCACAGGACTTACGGTTTCTCGGGTCCGGCCATAAGAAAGAGGCTATGAAAGGAAGCAGAGAAGTAACAGTGTGCATCAGTTTTACGCTTTTAAGAAGTGAAATGACGTGTTCGGTCGCTAATACACTTGAATGCCCCTTCCTAACGCCCTAGAAACCAAGTGAAAATTCGGTGGCGCGCCAAGCAACGAGAGGTGGATAGGAAATCGCAAGAATCGTTTTCAAAGATTTCACTATCAACTGATGAATAGGGATGGAACTGATTTCCAAATGCTACACATAACAAAGTCCCAAAATGTAACAGCTTACTAACGGTATACAAAGCACTATTGGAATCCATTTTAAAGCGTTTTCCGCACTAATATAAAAAGCAACGCCATTTTGTGCTAACGTTGAACATTTGCTTTTTTTCTAAAATGGTTTCACGATTCCTCGCTAAATCACTTTCTCTTATTGAAGAAAGCAGTAGATGAATCATCAACATCATCAAAGACAGCAACATCAGTGTTGCCACTGATGCTTCACTGCCGTACAACCATAAAGTTCGTTTAGTTT